CCAGCCCCGACGCAGCCATGGACGCCATCAAGAAGAAGATGCAGATGCTGAAGCTGGACAAGGAAAACGCCATCGACCGCGCGGAGCAGGCCGAGGCCGACAAGAAGCAAGCGGAGGACCGCTGCAAGCAGGTGGGGCCGCGCCCAGGGCAGCGCCTCCCCGACCCCCCGCCCCAGCCAGCCCCCCGAGGCCCTCCTGCCTCGGCCGGCCACCTTTAACTCCTCCACCAGAGCCCGGGGAGCCCCACTTCTGCCCTGGTAGGGCCACGACCGACTTGAAGGCTTCTCTGCCCTCCCCCCCCCCACCCCCCCAGCCCCCAGCGGGACCGGCTCCCCTCCGCCAGCCCTCCTCCTGTTTACCACCTTCCAAACCTGCGCCTTCCCACTGGCCCCTGGCACATCCCTGGCCCCGGCCCCTGCCCGGCCGGGCTGACCCAGGCCCTTCTCTCCCAGCTGGAGGAGGAGCAGCAGGCCCTGCAGAAGAAGCTGAAGGGGACGGAAGACGAGGTGGAGAAGTACTCGGAGTCAGTCAAGGATGCCCAGGAGAAGCTGGAGCAGGCCGAGAAGAAGGCCACTGACGTGCGTGTGGGCCGGGGGGTGTCAGAATAGGGGCCACGCATGGCGTGGGAGGACCAGGGGCTCGAGGGCTCCCCAGCACCGGCACAGAAAGGGTTTCCTCTCCGGCACCCACGCTAGGGCCAGCTAGCACAAATGATCCAAAACCATGGGGCTGGGTGGCTAAGAACAGACCACCTACCTCAATTAATCCTTTAGCTGAAAATGGGGAGGAGGCTGCAGCCACATTGGTGAGGCGTGTGGGAAGCAGGGGTGTGAGGTACTGGTAGATAAGAGAGGGGGGAGGAATCCACAGAGGGGACCCTGCCCTGGGCTATACTCCCGAGGGGCCATTAGAAATTCCCTGGCCTTGACCTCTGGCCCCAACAACCCCGCTGTGCACTGGGGCCCGGCTCATGTTCTGACGGCTCCTCATTTACCCTCATTAAGCTGTCAGCCTCTGCAGCGTGCCAGGCCACAGGGCAGAGGGGTAGGGCCACAAATGCCAAGGCAGCCGCCTTGGCAGTCCCTGCGCACTCTGAGACTTCTCTGCCCGCCTCCCAGCCCCAGCCCCAGCCCCAGCCGACTTCTTCACTCCCTGCCTGCCGTTGGGCACCCCACCTTGAGGTAGAATGACCACACAGACAAAGCACCTTTGCCATTCTTTGTCTCGGTTTCCACCCAGGAAACCTTCCACCCAGGGGTGTTTCCAGATTGAGATGAGCCTCTGGTCGCAGTTACAGAGGAAGTGGCATAAATCATGGTCTGAAAGCCAGAGGTGACGTCACTGGTCGTGGTGACCCTTCGCCAAGCCCCCCGCCACCCCCAGAGTCGGGTCTCTGTGACCTCCAGCCTTCCGTTTTGGTTCTCCACCAGCGCCGGCACTGGGAGGGGTCTGACCTGCAGCTGCTGGGGGGGGGGTGGCCCTGGGCATCTGACCCGCTATAAATAACCAGGGCCTGGTGCGGCTGGAGGCAGGACTGGAAACCCAAGGAGCTGGGGGGGGGGGGGGGGGGGGACAGGGACAGAGCTAGCGAAGCAGGGCAGCAAGGCCAGGGGCAGGGAGGAAACGTTCCCAAGCTTCTGCTGTGACCTTGAACACACCGTGCACCTACACGGTGCTCAGTGCCCCCTTCTCTCTAGCTTCCTGTTGTCCATTTTGTCCAGAGAGCACTGTCTGCCCTTTAGTTAGCAGCAGCCAGGGCCAGGAAGAGCTTTAGGAGTGGGAAGGACAGAAGCTCAGAATGCCAGCCCTGTGATGAGGGCGTCAGGACTCTCCAAAGTCAGCCCATCGTCCCACCACCATGAAGAGGGTTTTCCGTGGCCAGAGCCTCCTCTCTCTCAAGTAGACCTCAGTGTCCCCCAGAGTCACTCTTCCCAGCCCCCAGTGCCGTCCCTAGAATCCTTCCACACTGAGTCATTCGGCCCCGTGCCCGTGACGGGCTCTGGTCCCCTGAGGTGGCCAAGCTCCAGGTGCTTTCAGCACCTGGAAGGCCAGCTGCAAGCAGCCTTCTATATATGGCGCTGAGCGCCTCCTGCCCTACAGGGCCGCCACCTGGCAACGGCGGCCGTCCCCTTCCCCTGTGCCCACTCTGTGTTTACTGGTTTCCATTCCTCTATGATGGTCCTTTCTCTTTTCCGTCTTAAATCTCAGGGTTCCTTTGTCTCCGTCTTTGAGGGACAGTGCTCTGCTCATTCTTTGGGCGGTGTGTTCTTTCTGTGTGTTGGTTTACTGTTTCCTGAATAGTGATTGTCAGGATTACTTGGGAGCTTTGGAAAAAAAAAAAAGATAAACTTCCCAAGCCCCCACCCTGGAGACCCCAGTTGAGTGGGTCACCCATGGAGCTTGCGAACGTGTCTGGTTTGATAAGCCTCCAGGATGGGTCTGCTGATTGATTAAGTATCGGAAGCACTGTGTTATCTCGCACGGCCTTCTGAGGGAGTAACTAAGATTAATAGAGGGGGAAACTGAGGCTTAGAGAGGCTTAGTCAGGTGCCCAAGGTCACGCAAGTGTTGAGTGGCTGAGCCGTGGCTCAGGGACAGCGTTCTAACCCACAGCTAAGGCTCCTCACCCCAGACCTCACTGCTCCTCCCATTGACTTCATGCCCTGCCAACCCTTTTGTTAGCCTATCATCAGTTTTTGCGGACTTTCTCCAAAACCTCCGTGGTTTTGCCTCCATACCCAGGGTGAGAGACTCACCCCACTGCCTCCTTCCTGGCTTTGGCAGGGAGCCCCGTGCCAGAGCCCTGGCTGCTCCCACACAGGCTGGGCTTGCCGCCAGCCTCCTGCTTGGAGTCTGCCTGGCAGCCAGTGACGTCACAGAACTTGATTCGGTGATTGGCTATCTTTAGCAGCAGTGAGGTCTGGTTGGCCTAATCCTCTAGCACCTTGCCTGGACCAGGCTGTACTGTGGAGGAATAGGGACTGTCTCTGCTCAAGGGGGAAAGAGGGACCTGGATGCAGAGAACCACTGGGACACTCACCATGCACAGTGCCAGAAGAGGCCCTGTAGCGGGGGAGTGGGGCCGGCCGAGGAGTGGGCTCTTGGCTGGAGCCTGGAGTCTGCACAGAGGACGGTAGGTTGGGTGGAGGATATAGGTAGAAAGTATAGAAGCCGGGAAGGCTAGGTTCTTTCTAATCTTGCCATCCCCCCTGAGCCTCTCTGAACCCCAGCCAGGACTGGCAAGGCCTTTCTGACCCGAGACCTTTGACCACAGGCCGAGGCAGATGTGGCCTCCCTGAACCGCCGCATCCAGCTGGTGGAGGAAGAGCTGGACCGGGCGCAGGAGCGTCTGGCCACCGCCCTGCAAAAGCTGGAGGAAGCCGAGAAGGCGGCTGATGAGAGCGAGAGGTGGGCAGGGCGGGCCTCAGGGCTGGGCTGGCGGGAGGGGGCCGTCTCTGCTGGTCCTGACCCCATTCACTCCCTTCTCCCTGCCGCGTAGAGGAATGAAGGTCATCGAAAACCGGGCCATGAAGGATGAGGAAAAGATGGAGCTGCAGGAGATGCAGCTGAAGGAGGCCAAACACATCGCTGAGGACTCGGACCGCAAATACGAGGAGGTGATGCCCGGCCGGCCCCCCTCTCTCCCACGTCCCATCTCCCGGGGTCCCTCACTGACCCCCATCCTTCTCTCCCGCCCCCCACAGGTGGCCAGGAAGCTGGTGATCCTGGAAGGAGAGCTAGAGCGCTCAGAAGAGCGGGCTGAAGTGGCTGAGAGGTAAGAGCACCGTGGACAGCACGGAAGCCTGGCCGACAGAGGCTGGGGCGCTCTGCACAGTGGGGAGGCGGTTTCCCCGGTTCATGGCCATGGACACAGGTCCTGTCTCTGACCCCTGCCCGCTGCCCCCAGCCGAGCCAGACAGCTGGAGGAGGAGCTGCGAACCATGGACCAGGCCCTCAAGTCCTTGATGGCCTCAGAGGAGGAGGTAGTGGCCTCTCTGGGCATGGCGCCCTCTCTCAGCTCACCTGCCCTCCTCCTCCGGCTGTGGCTGCGGCTGCGCTCTCTCACCTGGGGCCATGGGAAGGGCCTGGGGCCTCCGGACTCCACCTGCTCTCACTCTCACTACTCTGCTCTTCTCTCCTCTCCTCCGTCCCTCCCCCCACTGTGTCCTCCTGCTGCCTTGCCCACTGTGCCCCCACACCCCACCCTGCCACACGCCCCTGCAGTAAATGTGGGGACCTAGAGGAGGAGCTGAAAATTGTCACCAACAACTTGAAATCCCTGGAGGCCCAGGCCGACAAGGTAGAGGGGGCAGAGGCGCAGTGAGGATGGGCACCTGCAGGGGAGGTGACGGGCCCAGGCAGGGAGGGGCTGGGTGTTTGTGGGAGAAAGATGAGAGGTCTCATGGAGGCGGTGTACTGATGGCGTGTGTGTGTGTGTGTGTGTGTCCCCAAAAGTATTCCACCAAAGAGGATAAATACGAAGAGGAGATCAAGCTGCTGGAGGAGAAGCTGAAGGAGGTGAGGGTTTCCTTCCAGACCCCAGACCCTCCTCGCCTGGCTTTGGCAGGGAGCCCCGTGCCAGAGGCCTGGCTGCTCCCACACAGGCTGGGCTTGCCTCCAGCGCTCCTGCTTGGAGTCTGCCTGGCAGTCAGTGACGTCACGGAACTTGATTCTGTGATTGGCTATCTTTAGCAGCAGTGAGGAATTGGGCAGCTGATTCCTGCCAGAGGCTGCCTGAGGCAGCTGGTTTGGGGAAGGGGTGGAGGAAGGTTGTCTTCGGTGACAGTCTCTGGGGGAGTCTAATTTGTTCCTGTTTCCCCCACCCTTCCTTCGCTCCCAGGCTGAGACCCGGGCAGAGTTTGCCGAAAGATCTGTGGCAAAGTTAGAGAAAACCATCGATGATCTGGAAGGTAAGTGATACGCCCCTTGCCCCAGCAGCCCCTCAGAAGGGCTGCAACCCCTGGTCCCCTCATCTTCCCCCCCTTGCACCTGCCGCCACTGGACTAGGATTGCCTCAAGAAAAAGGAGGCAGTCGGCTTTCGTAAAGATTTGTGGGAACCCCGTGGGGGTCACTGTGAGTCGGAGTCGACTCGATGGCAGTGCGTGTAAACTCGGGCTGGACCATCTAGGACCCCACACACCCCACTGACTCTGGTGGGCTACGTGCGCCATTGGGTACTCGTGCCTGGCCACAGCCCACCCACTGCAGTGTCCGAGAGTCCCCTGGAGGGCTTCCAGCGCAGGTTCCTGGGCGGCTGCTGATTTGGGGCTGAGAGCCTGCGCTTCTCACAAGCTCCCTGGTGTTGCCCATGCTGCTGGTCCACAGGCCACACTTTGGGCCGCGCTGACCCTGACAGTTTCCTCTCCAAGGGCGACACTGTGGAGCCCTGCCCCGGGACCTATGCTTCAAATAGAGAGCTACCTGACTATCTGGGTTTGCATAACAGCATGAAGGGAAAACACTGTTCTAAGCTAGATACCGAAAAGTTGGACATCCGGGTATTTGCTAGGCTGTGGCTGGTTCTCCCGTTCTCACAACTCTGTGCCTCATATCGCTCCCTTTGCTGGTACAGCCACTCTTCAGCTTTCAGAACTGCTGTTTCTCCTCCTTCTGACCTTCCCAGGCGGTTCCTCTCCACGTTAGGGCGTTAGACCTTCCCCCTGAAGGAAGGCTCCCTGCTAATCCAGAGCACTGTACCCCCGGGTCCCCGGGGGCTGCGGGAGCTCCTGGAGGAAGAGCCACTTTGGGGTACAGAGGAAGGCAAAAGAAAGGGGTGCCGAGGGGGCGGAGGAGGGCCCCTGCCAGCCGTCCACCTGCTCTCTGGTCTCTCTCTGGCTGTCACCTGTCTCTGACTTCATTTTCCTTTCCACTGCCCTGCCCCCTTCCTTCTCTCCCTCCATCCCCTCCCCACACTCCCGCTTGGTCCCCACCCTCCACCCCCACCCAGACGAAGTCTACGCGCAGAAGATGAAGTACAAGGCCATCAGCGAGGAGCTGGACAACGCCCTCAACGACATCACCTCCCTCTGAGCCCCGCACCCACTGCGGCCCCTCCGCTCTCTGCTCCCCTTTCCATTCTCTGGGGAGGGCGGGCAGGAGGGACAAAGTTTGGTGACACTGCACAGTCAGGCTGCAAGCAGCCACGGGAGGGCCCCCATCACACCCGGCCCCCACCCTGGCACTTGCTTCATCCTTCTGTCCATCTGCTTCCCCACACCTGTGAGTATCCACCTCTTTCTGCTGCTTAATAAACTCTTAACCTCGTCTCCTGCTGTCCTCCTGTCCTCCATAGGCACTTCCATCACCCCACAGAGCGCTGGTTGACTCCCGAGACCCCTGGCCCCAGCACTGAGCCCACGCACAAGCACTGTGGCCCATGCTGAAACACCCTCCCCACGGGGCACTCGGCTGTCACTCTCTCTCACTGTTGCATGTGGCATGTGCGAGCCCATCGGGCACCCTGACCCCACGGGTGCCTGTGAGACACACCCCACACAGACCCTGTCCCTGCTGCAGAGCACCCAGCTGGGGTCCCAGGATGGATGGAAGGGGGGGCAGGTACAGGGGAGGGGCAAGAGGTTACGAAAAGTCTGGGGCGAAGTTGGGAAAAACACGGGGGTTTTCACTGCAGCTGCAGGTCTGTTTTCTGCCTCCTGTCTGTCTGCCTGTCCGTCTGGGCCTCCCTGCCCTGGCTTTGTCTTTCCTTGTTTCCACCTTTCCTCACCCTTCCAAAGGAGACCAAAGTAGTGGATGACTCAGGCCTTCCCACCCCACCTCCGGGAGCCTGGCCTCTCCGGGACCCCGGGGCATGCCGCCTCTGTTCTCTTCTTCGTCCTGGTCAGTCCCTGCCACGGGGCCGTCCAGCCCCAGTCCTCTGTCTTCCCGTGTCTCCATGTCTGTCTGTCGCCTCTCCCCTGTGTGCCCTCCTCACGTGCTGCTTCCCCTCACAGAGACCTTGGCCAGTGCCAAGGAGGAGAACGTGGAGATACATCAGACCCTGGACCAGACCCTGCTGGAGCTCAACAACCTGTAAGGGCAGTTACCCCTCGTGCCAATAAACGGATGTGACCAGTCTCACAGGCCGTCAGCCTTTCTTGGTGGTAGTGGTGGCTAGTGGTTTTCCAAAGTGGTTGAAAGGGTGCCCAAGGAAACCCTGAATGAACAGGTTCTGGGCCCACACTCAAGCATGGGATGTCCTTATCAATGGGGTCCGTGAGATTGGGGCACCAGGCTCCCTGAGGAGAAGTTGGAGAAGTCTGTGGCAAGTGGAGACTCCCACAGGGCTGGGGGAACACCCTGGCCTCTCACCCCCCAGGACAAGGGGGCCTCACATCACACTCCAGTGGCAGCTGTGCCAGGCAGCTGGTTCCCAGGGCAAACCTGCAAGAGCTCCACAGATTCTGCTTGGGCAAAGGGCAAGCCCCAAAGCTTCAATGTGAGTTTAAGCCCAAAGGCTGCAGCCTCCCTACTTACACATACACACAACACTCACACACAGCACTCACACATACAACATACACATACAGTCGTACATACCATATACACACACACACATATAGACATTCATACACTCACTCACTCATACACATGCATATACACACTCACTCATACACACACTTCCTCATACACAAGGTCTTGCGAACAATATTAGTCATTTCTTTCCACTTCCTGACACCATCTGTGGATGGTAGAAAAATGTGCACCCCCTAAGATGCCCACACCATAATCCTGGAACCTGTTACCTGGCATAGCAAAAGGGGGGTGGCAAATGTGAGTTAGGATTTTAAGATGGGGAGAATATTCTAGAATTTCCAGGTGAGCTCCCCGTAATCACGAGGGTCCTTAAGAGGGGCAGGAAGGTCAAAGACCACAGTAGAAGCTGTGAGAATGGAGGCAAGAGCCAAGTGATGTAAGGAAGGGGCCAGAAGCCAAAGAGCGAAAGTGACCCTTAGAAGCTGGAAAAGGCCAGGAAAGGAGCTTTCCCTCAGACATCCCGAAGGAAGGAAGCAGCCCCGCCCACACCCTGCCTGTAGCTCTCATTTCCGACCTCTGACCTCCAGGACGTGAGGGAGTAAATCTGTGTTCTTTTAAGCCAGAGTCTGGCAGTTTGTTACAGCAGCCATAGTGATTCACACGCTGTCCCAGTGCCGTGTGGACAAAGGCGCCTGCCACATATTTTATTGTTGTTATGTGCCATGGAGTCGGACCCGACTCACAGCGACCCCTCCTTGGGTTTCCAAGGCGGTATCACTACGGAAGTAGATTGCCCAACCTTTCTTCCTAGGAGCAGCTGGTGGATTTGAACCGCCTTCTGGTTTGCAGTCAAGGGCCTTAGGCTTATTTTTAAGAACTCTTTGGAGGTTAACAGGCAGTGGTGTAACAGGCAGGCCAGGCCGCGGTTTGCAGATCCCCCGGTCTTCAGCCAGCTTCTCTGTGCGCTCTCCCGGGCGGCCTCTAGGCTTCTGTCTCGGCGACCTCTGCTGGCTGGTAGCTGGCATTCCCTTTGGCCATGCATTTGTGTCTGCACAACCAAAACAAGAACCAAAGCCCTTGCTGTGCAGTCCATCCCGACTCACGCGACCCCCGTGTGGGACAGAAAGATTGCTCAACAAGGTTTCCTCGGCTGTGGTCTACAGAGCAGAGGACCGAGCCCTCCTTCCACGCGCTGCCAGTGGGTTCAGACGGCTAACAGTTGTCTAGCGAAAAGCATCGTGTCACCTGGGGGCCTAGTCAGAAAACCTGCTCAGGGCGACCCCATTTGCATGCAATTGCCATGACTGTGCTGGATGTCCGTCTGCCCGGTGGGTGGTCAGCCACCTGGGGGTGGACGAGGATGGAGCTGGGCTTGTATCTAATGAGAGGGGCAGGCAAATACCTTCGCTGTCTTCTTATTTGCACAAGGAGAGCAATGCTGGTAACAGCGAAGAGAAGGCCAAAAGTCAGTGCCAGGATGTTACCTGAGAGGGAGAGGCGAGAGGGCTGCCTTAGGGAGTGAGAGGGGCTGTGGGGCTCACCCCGGCCTGCCTCGTTGTGACCCCACCACTGCCCCAAGTTCTCCAACAGCCTCCCGAAGAGGCCACAAAGGGATGGGGGGACCCAAGGAAGAGGGTGAGATGAGCACCCCTTTTCTTCCCTAAGATAGAGTAGCAGAGGTTGTCTGGGAGGCAAATGCCAGATGTCCGGTGCCTCATTCTGACCCTCCCTTGCCCTGAGTCCCTGGCAGAGCCCAACATCTTGATCTGCAGAAAAGGAGAGGGAGCCTGGGGGGAGCAGACGTGGTCCTGACCAGCCCTGGGGTGTCCCCCAACATCAGGAGCAAGAGGGGCGCTCTAGACTCACCAGCACTGAAGCAGGAACTCAGGTGGACTGAAGAGAGAAGGGGGACATTAGAATCAGGCGCTGTGACCTCGGAGGACAAACGGAGACCCGTGAGACGATGAGGGACCTGAGGCTCGGGGAACATGGCGGCATGGGACCCCAGACAAAGCTGCACCTGGTTCAAAGGTCCTCGGGCGACCGTCCACTCCAGCAGAGAAGGAAGCCTCAATCACACGCCCGTTCAAAGGCTGCGTGGCTCGGAAGTTCATCTGCAGCCGAGAGTCATCCGGTCCCCAGAGGGTGTCAGAGAGGGTGTGGAGCTGTGGCGGGCAGCAGACAGAGGGTGGGCTTAGGGAGCAAGGGGGAAGGACAGGCCAGCAGCCCCTCTCACAGCCAGCCCCTCAGGGCTCCTCCCTCCTTCTCCCCCAAGTCCGCACGGGGCCCCTTCAGCCCTTTGTACCTCCTGTCACCCTATAACCCCCTTCTGCCACATCACCTGTGTCACCCCCAGGGCCCACCTGCTTGGCACTCAGCTTCACTGTCTGGTTGAACACAGTCCAGGTGACCCCCTGGGCACAGGAGGGGGTGGTCAAAGACCCCTCATATCGGAAGTAGCGGCTGAGGTCAGAGGGCAGCAGGGCAGATACGTCCAGGCCTGGGACCCAAGCCTCTGAGCCTGTGGAGAGAATCTGGGCTGGGTTCCACCTCGATCATGTCCCCTTGAAGTTCCACCTCCCAGAAGTGAAGTTAACTCCTTGGGACCCCTCCTTCACTAAGAAGGGTCCTTTCCACTAACTGAGCACAAGACATCACTTAGAGGAAAATCAAGGGCTTTGGGGCAACCGGCAGAAGGACCCCAAAGTGGGTCTTCACGTTTCTCTGTGTGCTGCCATAACATGCTGAGAGTAGGTGCACCCCAGACTGAACGAAACAGGAACGCTGAGCCGAGTAACTTGTAAATAAATAGAAATATTTGTAACGATATAAAGACACGACCCCCAAACTCAAAAACTGCAGTTCCCTCTAGTTCAGCCAAACCTGAGGGTCCAGCAAGATAAGTGGTATTTAAAATGAGGGAGCTCTGGTAGCATAGTGGTTAAGGCACTTGACTGCTAACCAGAAGGCTGGCGGTTCAAACCCACCAGCCACTCCTCGGAAGGAAGGTTGGGCAATCTACTTCCATAGTGATACTGCCTCGGAAACCCAAGAAGGGGTCACTATGAGTCGGGTCTGACTCGACGGCATATAACAACAACAACAACAACAGAGTAACTGAGGAGGGGAAGACCTCCAACCAAAGTCATTTAAAATTTAAAATATTTACTGTTTATGAAGGAGACGTTGACAGCTCTTAGAAAAATGTGAGCTCTGAAGACTTGACCCTGGAAGTTCCACACACCATTGGTTTTGTCTCCTTTGGTTTTTGGTTTTTAACCATCAAGCCTGTGGGAGCAGTTGGCCTGTCTGGCTCTGTTAAGCTTCCCATTATCACGATGGTGGGCATGTCACACCGCAGCCACCTCTGAAGGCGAGGGAGTCCGTCTCCACCCTCAGACTGTGCTCCTCCAAGGGCCAGCTAAGAAACGAGGGTCCTGGCGGTGGTGGCCGGCCCAGCAAACTGACCTTCCTCCGCGACTTCTTCCAAATGGGACAGCAACTGCTCATAGGCGCTGTTTTCCTCTGGGCCCTCCTGGAGAGGACAGTGCAATGCAGACAGACAGCTGTCTCTAGGACCATGGCGGGATGCCTGAGAAGTGGTGGCTTCCCGCAGTCCTCCCCCCTCCCTCAGCTCTGAGGAGCTGGGAACAAAACCCTTGCGCATTATTGCTGAAAGTGCATTCACTCTTACTTTGCAAACTAATTGAAGAGCTTGGCCAACTGGAGAGGAAGGAAGTGGGGCAACTGGACTAGGACACAGACCCTCAGTGACCTGGATTCCAGTAACATTTCCGGTCTCACCCACAGCTACTGCTGTACATATTTCACAGTCCCCCAAAAAAGTCATCCCCCGCCTTTGCATTCCCGCTACATCCACTTTAACCCTAGCACTCTTGTGATTGACTTTGGAACAAGGTCACCTGACGTGCTATTCCTCAGGCATTCCTCTGAACTGGGCACCAGGAGGCTGGGTAAGAGGTCAGCGAGTGAGTGAGCCTAGTGTTCCTACAATCCACTGGCCCCCCAAGCCATTACCCAGCCATTCCATTACTAGGCCCGATGATTATGGGTTCAAAGAGGAAGTATCCATCTAGACTTTATTGCGCTTCCCCAAGGGGCTTACTGGTTGTTGGAGTATTAGAGAAACAATTCGAGCTGACACCCTGTCTGTTGTGCCTGTGTGCTCTGAATCAGAGGCTTTGCACATGTTCTCCTCTCTGCATGGGAGATGCCTCTTTTCCTTTCCCACTACAGAGGGGTCACTAAGGAGCCTGCTGGCCTAGTGGATAAGGCATTCAGCTGCCAGCCAGAATGTCAGTGGTTCAAACCCACCAGTGGCTCTGGGGAAGGAAAGCGGGGCAATCTACTTCAACTGGGATCGACTGCACGACAGGGAGTTTGTTTTTTTCTAGGGAAGAGTTCAAGTGTCACCTCCTCTATGAAGCCTTCCTTGACAGTCTCTTCTGCTTTAGCGTGTTCTTTGTATACGTTTATCATGTTAAAAGGAAGCTTGGGCGATCTACTTCGGTAGAGATACTGCCTCAGAAACCCAAGGAGGGGTTGCTATGTATGAGTCAGGCAACTCGACCGCAGGGAATTTTTTTTTTTTTTTTTTTTTGAAATCATGTAATAAAGGAGCCTTGGTGGCACAGTGGTTAAGGACTAACTCGGTTGCTAACCAAAAGGTCAGTGGTTAGAACCCATCAGCCCCTGCTCTGTGGGAGAAAGATGAGAGTCTGCTTTGCTAAAGATTAAAGGAGCGCTGGTGGTGTGGTGGTTCAGGCATTTGGCTGCTAACCAAAAGGCCAGTGGTTGGAACCCACTAGCCACTCTGCACAAGGATGGGGCAGTGGTGGGGCGCTGTGAGTCTGAATGAATGGACCACAGTGGGTGTCGTTGGGCTTTAATTCCGTGAAGATTGACAGCCTGGGAGACCCTGTGGGGCAGTTCCACTCTGTCCTCTAGGGGCGCTGTGAGTCAGAATGGACTCCAAGGCAGTGGGTTTGGTTTGGGCTTTGCTTCCATAAAGACCGCAGCCTAGGACACCCCGTGGGGCAGTTCCACTCTGTCCTCTAGGGGCGCACCCTTCTAGGGGAGTCAGAATCAACTCCAGGGCACTGGGTTTTACGTGACTCACAGCAAGGGATGAATGAATGACCTAATGAGTGAATGAGATGACAGCCGGGGGCAGGGTGAATGTGCTGGGGCGGAGTCTCCAGGGGCAAGCGTGGAGAAGCGGGAGTGGGGATGGCCAGGGCCAGTACCTGCAGAAAGGCAGCTAGCACGGCCACGCCTCCCGGGCGCCCCAAGGCTTCCTCGACTGTGGCAAAGGTGGTGCTGAGGTGGACCACGTGGATCTGGAGAGGACGGGAGGGTAGGTGGGCCGGATCTCGGACCCAGCCCGCCCCTTCGCCGTCTGTAGACCCCTCTCGGCTCTCCGCTTACCTCGGCTGGAAAACGGTGGCCACCCACGGTGTGCTCTGAGCCCGGGCGACCCGCGGCCCCCCAGTGCAGATGCAGCTGCAGGGCTCGGTACTCCTGCCCGGGACTCAAGGCCATCTCCAGCCCGGGAGGGAGCGTGAGCTGCACTGCGGGGGAAGGGGCAGTGAGCCCCCACGGGCCCGCCCCTTCCCTAGGCTCCGCCCCGCATCCCTGGCTAGCCCTGCCCCTTCCCTAGGCTCCGCCCCTCAGCCCCGGCTAGCTGCACCCCTCGGTTAGCCCCGCCCCTCAGTCCCAGATGGCCCCGCCCCGCAGCTCCAGCTAGCCCCGCCCCTCACGTGAAGCTCCGCCCAGGCGCCCTTACCAGTGTGGCCGTTGTTTTGCAGGTGCAGTTCCGGGAGGGGCGGTAGCACGAAGCCCAGGAGTTCCACGGGTCGCAGGGCTGGGCAAAACGCGGCGAGCTCCGGACGGATATCTACCGGGGACTGGAAGCGACCTGCGCAGGCTGGGAACACCTGGGGCCAGGGCGGGTCGCCTAGGGTGGGGGAGTGTGGTCACGAAGTCTAGGGAACCCGGGTAGAAACAGTGGGGGTGGGGACAGGAAGCCTCGGAGAGGCGGATAGCAATCGGGCTCGTGGGCGGGGCCTGGCAGCGCACGGGGCGTGGGCGGGGCGCCCAGTGGGCGGGGAGGCCGGTTGGACCTGGCAGCCGAGCGGGGGGCGCAGACTGGGTGTGTGCAGGGGCTGGGGGTCTCACCTCTGTAGCGCCAATGACTGTGGTCTTCCCCTGCGTAAATGAGAAGGATCAAGAGACCGGTCTTGGAGCCCAGTGTCTCCCCAGTGACCAGAACGAGGGGGGCCCTCACCAACCGGAGTTCGCAGCCTGATGGGGCTGGCTAGCAGGTACCACACAGGCCTGCAGGGGGCCACGTGTGCAGCACAATGGCCGATGGCCAAACGTCATTCCACAGCGGGGTGGGCCAAACGGAAATCGTCTGGCCGCGGGGTGTGTTTGGAACCTCAGCCTTAGGGTCCAAGTCACAGCATCGTCCCTCCTCCCCCTCCCCACTCCTCGTTCGCCCCTTTCTGCAGCTCTACGTCCTTCCCCAAGGTTCCTACTTGGAAGTCAGACCGGATTCCTCGTGGGTGCCTCGTTCTGCACCTCACTTTCCTCAGCTGGAGCTGGCTGAGACCAGCCATCCACCTCGGCCTTCCGCTTCTCTTCCCCTCGGTTTCCTCCCTCTTCCCTTTCCACATTGGCCCTTAATCTCTGCACATTGGTTCCTCGGCTCCTCCTCCTCTCCCACGACCCCCTTCTCTCCCCTCCTCTAGCCCCTCCTCCATCTGTGCCCCTTTTTTTGTTTCCCCCTTTGCCCCCTTCTAGCTCTGATGAGGGAACCGGGCTAGTGGTAAGGACGCCCCTGGGACTGGGAAAGGCGACTGTCGGATCACAAACCCCTCTCCTCTCCTGAAAGTCCCTGCGTGGTGCAAACAGGTAACCGAAAAGCTGGCGGTTCCAGTCCACCGAGACACCTCGGAAGAAGGCCTTGTAGGCTCCTTCCACAAAATCGCCCGTTGGAAACGCTAGGAAGCGGTTATACTGTGATGCACATGGTGTCCCGTGAGTCATAGGCCACTGAGCAGAAACTGGTTTTTGGTTCTCCTCTGCTGAAAAGTCCCTGCCTGAGTTGGGGTGTGTGTGGGGGAGTCATGCACCCCCTGGAGCCCAGAAGTGGGAGCTGGTGGCCACTTACCTTTTCTTCCCCTGTGGGCATGGTTTTCGGGACCCGGAGTGTTCCTGGGAGCCTCCGTGCGTAGGTCCTCTAACCTCAGAGAGTCCTCTTCACCTGAATGAGTCTCAGCCTCAGGTGGCCCTTCCTCTCCAGCTGCCTCCTCCTGTCCGGGTGGGTCCTCTTCACTGGCAAGGTCCTCCTGGCCCGGTAGGTCATCTTCCCCGGACCAACCTCCTCCCGGCGGGGTAACCCCCTGCATCTGGGGCAGGCCCTGGGGGTGGGCAGGCCTCAGGAGCACGAGGAATAGGAGCAGCTGCATGGTGGGGCCCTGGGCTAGGGCCTCGGTCAGCAGGGGCTGCCAGGGGCCGGGGCCCTGGGGAGCCATGCGGCTAGCCGTGGGGTGGCCCGGGACCCAATGTGCACCGGCTGTGCGTGCCTGGGAAGCAGGAGCCAGTGGGGGAGGAGCGAGCCTGGAGGGGAGCAGGCTGACTCACAGAGTGCCCTTCTGTAGAGATGGAGCCAAAGTCCCACGGGTCGCCCTGGCCCTGCGCCCCTTCCCCTACCAAAGCCTGGGCAGGGGTGGGGTCGGGGCAGGGCTGTGCTCAGGCAGCAGGTTATCGGGGTCACAGGCTGAGCCTGGGACCCAAGGCACCACCTGGCACTATGCAGGCTCTCCCTGGCACCACCCGTTGCTTGCCAGCTAGTCTCACCTAACCCTGGCCTGCTTCCCAGCCCCAGGCAGGGAAAGGGAAAGGCAGGGAGCTGGGGCCTCCACGTCACCTGGCTGAGAGGGGAAGTGGCCCATGCTTACATCCCTGGCCCTAACCCCACCAGAGAGCGGGTGAGGGGGTAGGGAGAGGTGCTGGGGAAGCCGGAGGGCTGGCTGGTAGGTGGATGGGTGGATGGGTAGGGGAGGTCCACCTGGGTATGAATGAGACTGAGGAAATGTATGGGAGGGACTCTGATGGGTTAAAAGAATGTATTTCTCAGCATATTGTCCCACTGCTCAGAAACCTTCACTGGCTGCCCACTGCCTACAAAGTGGGCGCATCATCTCCTTCTGGTCAACCTCCAGTCCTTTCACTGTCTCACCCCGGGTACCTCTCCATCTTACCACCTACTACTTCCCTTCATACTTCAGCAAATTAAACTCTTCATTTCCCCTCCAAACCCTTCACTACCTTTGTTCGTGCAGTTCTTCTGCCTGGAATGCCATCCACTATTGAATTCAACACGAATTTAGTTAGTACCTGTTTGGTGTCAGACACTGGGTTATGGAACTAGGGGTACAGATTGAATGACACATCTCCTGCCCCTGAGGGGCTCCCAGTCTATTAGGAGCAAACACCACAATACTGAGGAGGGAGAGATTAATTCTGTCTCAAAAGATAAACCAGAGGTAGGCAAAGTGTGATGAGGACCTTGAAAAAGTGGTTCCGTTGATAGAAGCAATTGAGGAAAGGTATTCCAGGTGTGAAGAACAGCGCAGGTGTGCAGGTGTAGGTCGCGTGAGGGGCATGAACGGTGAAGACGTGCAGAGGCAGGCGCTGCTTGAGCAGGGTCTGAATACCAGGCTAAGGAGTTGGGTCTGCTTCCTATAATCCAAAGGGAAGCAGCGAGTATGCTGAGCAGGAGAACAACAGAATCCCATGCTCATATAAGGTCATACGAGGGCGTGTGTGAAGTATGAACTGGATGCAAGGAATGCGTTGGAAGAGAGGGGACCCTCAGCATGAGCTTAGGGTCCCAGACGGCTTCTTCATTCAGCCAGCATTTACTGAGCGTCCTCCAAGTTGCCACCGTTCTCAGCCTTGGGATGCAGCCTTGAACAGGAGGACAGGCTTTCTTCTCCAGCTTACCTTCTAGCAAGGCCTCTATGGCTTCCAAAACTGGAGACCACGACCATCTCAGGAGGTCCATGTCAGGGCTAACATTCAGTAGGTGCACGCCAGTGTGGCTGTATAGGTCAATAAAGATGTTGGACGGTGTCTAATCCTGTTGGTAAATAACAGAGGACCACGCCTTCGGGGGTCCTGCTACCCCATTTCCTTCTTGGGGACCCTCCAGACCTCCTCAAAATCTCTCAATTAAATAGGTAACGTCTGGCACGGGAGGAACTGTTAAGACCTCACTTGAGTGCCTTGGTCACCCACTCTTGTGGGTCAGTGCACGTAAATGTAGATACTGTAACTGTTTTGAACATTTCCCCTGTTTAACTCCTTCACGATCCATCTCAAAGGCCACTTTCCTGGGAAGCCTTCCTTAACCCGCTCTCTCACTGGTCAGGAAGAGATCTCTGGAGCCTCTGAGCCACCACAGTTATTTGCCTGCCCCCACTAATGACCCTGGCCACCATCCAGTGCATATTAGGGTGATTTATGACCACATTTTATCTCTTCTCATAGCCTTGAGCTCTGTAAGGGCAGGGGCCAGTATTTGATTTCGTCTTTCATTCACCAGCTATTGTTGAACATTATCTCTGTGCAGAGCTCCTTGCTGGGCACCGAAGGGATTCCTGATTGACTGAGATCCCCTCAAGGAGCTTATTGTCAACAGCATGTTTGTGTCAAAGCACAGCTGTCCGAGGAGCATGACATCACTTTTTTAATAGCACCTGAGATCATCTGCCTTATTCAAGTCACTGTCATACTGTGGACCAAACTTGCCCAGATGAACAATGGCTGTCCTCCAAGCAATCATCTTAGGAGGCAGACAGTCTAACGGAATCTAGGTTGCCATTTGTGGGCCAGATTAAGAGTCATCCATAGCATCTGAGCCCGCGTGCATTATGGATGGCCAGCTCATCGTCTCGGTCAGTTGTATTGCCGGCCCCTCACTTGGACCCTGATGCTCAGAAGGTGCCTGGGAATCTGAATGGGATGGGCGTGGACAGAAGTTTGTGGTAGCAACTAACCTAGTTGAAGTGGAAGAATTCCTGGAGTCCAAAGAACGGAAGGACCCTATTGACTAGAGTCCATGTATCTGGACATCTCTGTCCAACTCGAATCTCAGTTCTGCTCCTTTCTTCCTTCTTCCAAAGGTTCTGAATGTCTGCATCTCTCTGTTTCTTTTTCTTTTTGGAGCTGGGTTGCTCTGCGTACACTCCTCGGAGCACTGTATGTGCTCGTCTTGCTGGCTCTCTCGCCACCATCGCTGCTGCCTTTCTCTTTCGGAGTACACATCTGCCTCTAGGTGCAGATCTCGCTCCATGACAGCTCACTGCTTTTCCAAATGTTCCCTGCGGCCCTGTCTTTCTTAGGCTGTCTGTCTCTGTCTCTGAGTGGCTGTTTCTCTGTTTCTGGGCAGAGGATATGGACTCTGACCCTGAGTCATTCCACCACAGCTGGGAGTCTGCCAAAGCCGAAAACAAGTTTGAGCTCCCTGATTTCTTCCAATCCTCTCCAGGCTGGAACAGGACGTGTTCAGGACTGACTGGGCCACCGTTTGCCTGGCCCAGGACTGCTTTACGGTTGTTTAAGACCAAGTCTTTGGTCATTAGGTCTCTGACTTCAGACACTGAGGCGCCATGTTACTAAACTCTGTCACGTCACTCTCTACCCCAGGGCTGCAGAGAGAGCTACTGATTGGTGGGGTAGAGGGGAAAAGTCCCCCTCCTCTTTCCGCCATGGATTGGGAGAAAAGACCATTGAAAGCCCTTGTGGGGTCTTGAGGCTGACCTGTAGCTCTGGCCCACACACCATCAGCCATTTTGGAGCTGAGCTGACTCACAGGATGAGAAGGGATGGGTCTTTCCTATAGACCCTCATGACTTCTTCTGCCCTTGTTCCTCTTAATACTCTTCACTGGCCCATTCATGCACTCCCATGGCTTCTATAAACTGATGACAGCCGTGTCCCCACTCTGGACTCCCCAGGCCGCGTTCAGATGTGTAACCTCCTGCCTAGTGGACATCTCCACTCGGATTTCCTTAAGAGCCTCCAGCCCAAAAGGCCCCAAGTGGAAGTCACTGTGCCTGAAAACCTCTTCCTCTTCCATCAGTGACCACCACCACCCTCCACCCAGTACCTTAAGCCAGAAACTTGGCAGTCTTTGCTTTCTCTTCTTCCTTCTCTCGTGACATTTCATCATCGAGCCTTATGGATTCCATCTTCTTAGTCTGAACTTGCCATCACCTCTTACCTGGTCACGTAATGGGACTTGCTGACTCCATGTGGCCAGAACAATCTTTCTAAAGTGGACATCTCATCATCTCACTTTCTCCTTGAGACCCTTCAGTGGTTTCCCGTTGCCCTTAGGATAAAGTCCAACGTGCTTAACAGGGCTTCAGAAGGCTTCTCTGGCCTTCCTGGTGGCCTTGTGACATGGGTTGGTCTAAACAGAGTAAAGCATTTGATGGCTGAGGAAAGCCACTCATTCTTTGTCCGGATATGGACAAGGAAGCACGTAGGCACTGAACTGCAGACTGCCAACTTGCAACCACAGAGGAAGCCAGTTTTAAGATGAAGGCAGAACCACGGGAGGCAGAGTGGAGCAGCAGAAAGAGGTGCCTGGAGCCATGATTCAGCTGCTGGATTACGTTAACCTAGTCCCACCTGGATCAGGACTTTTTAATTGCATGCTAAATTGTATTGTTTAAGCCACTTTGAATTTACTGCTACTTGTGCTATAGAAAGGAGCTCTGGTGGCATAATGGTTAAAGCATTTGGCTGCTAACCAGGTCAGTGGTTCGAACCCACCAGTCGTTATTCAGGGGAAAGATGAGGTGGTCTTCCGTAAAGACTGACAACCTTGAAAATCCTACAGGGCAGTTCTACTCTTTCCTCTAGGGTCGCTATGAGTCATAATGAACTCAGTGAGAGTTGGTTTGGTGACAGTCTTCCTGATGAGACTGTGATTTGGCCTCTCCCGCCGCTCCCCTGCACTCCTGCCTCTGTCCTCACAGCTCTCTCCCTTATAACCTGTGTTGCAGTCTTACTGAACTTCTAGGAGGCCCTGGAATGCATTGTTTTGCTTTTTTCCCCTCAACCTCCAAGTCTTTGTTCCATGCTGTTGGTCTCTCTTTCCCTTCTCCCCACCCCCAGGGCTTTTGCTCTCATTATCAGTTTGCTTTCCCTTATCAGTTCACATGTCACTTTCTCCAAGAAGCCCTCCCTGCCTCCTGCGCAGTCCCTCCCACAGTGCTTGCACAACAGCCTCTCCCCTGTAACGAACAGCACCTGCCACCGTCTGTGCTGACTCCTTGCCGTGTCTGTCAGGCTGGACTGTAAGCTCCATGAGGACAGGGGCTCTTGCCCACCATCGCACCCCTGTACCTAGCACAGTACCTGCCACTTGACAGGCATGTGAGTTTTGTTGAATGATTGATGATTGTTGTTGAGCCCGTTTAAGGCTTCTCCAGCACCCACTTAGTTGACAGCAAAGGTTGAGGGTCATCAAAGGACAAAAGGGTTGTTGACGCCCCTCTGACTTCCTCCCCCAGCCCCTCTTTCCTGTGGCTTTGGGGCATCTGTTCCAGGTGGAATACGGTGTGCCTGATCTGCTCGGTGAGAGACTTGGTCCCCAGGGTGAGGAAGGAAAGTGTCCTTGGTGTATCTTCCCTGCTTCAACCTCTTCGACCTCCAAAGCTCCCAGTAGCCTCTGTTCCCACCCATCTCCCACCTGCTCAGACCACATTCACACAGTGGCAGCATACCCAGACACACCCATCACCAACTGGTCCTGAGCCCTGCTGCCGTCATCTGGCCTCACGATGAGAAGTCATCGTGGATTATGTCCTCTCTCACACCTGAGCTCTTAACGCCGCCTGTCCCCCATTCAGTTGCCACAGTGGTCTGTCCTCCACCTGTATGAGCCCAAGGCAGTCTGACCGAGAGGCTCCCTTTCTTCCATTCAAGCCCTGTGAGCTGCCCCTCCCCGACCAGCCCAGCCTCCTGCTCAGAATGCTTGGAATGCCAGAGAGCCCAAGGGACCTCAGAACCTGGGTAATTCCCTGAGATCCACAACAGTGGGAATGGGGTCTACAGTTTCTAACATTTTGTTTTTAGTAACTTTTTATTTCTAGTTAAAAACCAATGGCTGCTTGATTTAGAAAACTTAGGCAAAAGAAAAAACGCATAAGGGAATTAAAAAAACAAAAAACACCTTATTTGTCCCGTTTTACCCCTTTAACCTTAGTGACTCAGAGCCTTACACAGATTTGGTGCTTAGTGTTTATAGAGTGAGTTATCTTTAATCCCACTCTCCAGACACAAAAAACCACAATTAACTTTTCAATGTTTATCCTTCAACTATTATTATGTATATGTTTTATACAAAAATGGAATCACACTGTGCAGCTTTGACGCCTACTTTTTTCTCGGCGATATACCACGGGCATTTTCCCTACTGACAGTTTTCTGGGACATCATTTTCTTTTCTTTCTTTTTTTTTTTTAAGTTACCAATATTATTTGTCCCTTTATTTGTTGATATATTTTAGATATGCTTTTGTTTGTTTAGTTTTTGTTATTTTTATTAATGCTTCTATAGACGTTCTTATGTAAGTTGCACACCAAATGGATGCTTTTTTTTTTTTTATTTGATTTGGGTGAAGATTTACAGAGTAAATTCACTTTTCATACAGCAGTTCACATACATCATGTCTCATGTCATTGACCAAAATTTACAATGCAACAGCTCCCCTCCTACATCCTCCCCATAGTTACCTCTTCCCAGTGTGGGACATCATTTTCAATGCTTTCAGATTATTCCATCAAATGTACCACACTCTCCTTAACCCATTCTCTGAGATCACCGGACTTTTAGATGGCTTCTGGTTTTCTGTTACAAACCACATCGTCAGACATCTTGGTGCACACATTTTATACCCACGTCTGTTTCGTGAGGATGCGTTTATGTTATATCGTGACCAGGTTTACTCCAGGACCACTGCCGATTCCTCAGAAAGCCTAAGGAGAACCTCGTCCATTTAATCTCTGATTAGGTAACACAGACTAATAACTCAAAGCGTTTGCCTTTGGTCAGAACGACAGCCCTCTTCCATTGCCTGTCCACACCTGCTGACCAGAAGTGAAGTGGCAGGCTGTGGATTAGCACCAAAGGAGGAAAGGAGTAACTTAAAACCTATCAACTTTTGTCAGGGGCCAAAACATCCCAAACCGTGTGAACCGTGAGGGTTCCTCGTACTGGGAAGGGCGGAGCCCTCCCTGTGTCCGCACAGGCCCAGGACAGAGTACGGACCCACTACTGACCCCTTCCCACTTCTACAGATGGGGTACTGAGACCCTGCGGCGTCTGCACCCCCAAGTCCCCTGACTGCAGTCCAGGCTGCTGCCCAACTTAGTGCCACTCAGAGGAGCGGGGTCACACCCTGGGCCTGGGGACCAGCCCGGCTCCTCGTACCAGCTGACCCTGTCCGCACAGCTCAGCGCCGCCCGGGCCGCGGGGCGTGGGCCTGCAGGCCTCCGCGCATGCTCCGTCCTGAGCACGCGGCCTCCGGGCGCCAGGGGGCGCGCTCCCTCCTGGGCCCCCGCCCCGGCCCCGCCCCCGGAGCGGTTGGGATTTGAATCTCCGGCGGGTTGCGGCCGCAAGGGTCGACCCCGCGGGCTGGCCATGGAGAGCCCGGGGTCCAGTACACGGTGCCCGTTGCAAGAGCAGCGTGCTCGTTGGGAGCGCAAGCGCGCCTGCACCGCCCGTGAGCTTCTGGAGACCGAGCGACGCTACCAGGAACAGCTGGGGCTGGTGGCCACAGTGCGAGGCGGGGACCCCAGGGTGCGGGAGGGGGTGTGCGAGGCCGGTGGCCCCGTTTGGTGAGCCGTGGGCCGTCCGCCGCACGTAGGGAGCTCGGGCCGACCCCTGCAGACCCCAGCTGCTTGCTCCTCGACCTCCGCCTCCTCTTCCTCCAGACTGGTGCTAACGTTTCCTCCTTTCCTAGTACTTCCTGGGGATCCTAAGAGCCAAGGGGACCCTGCGACTCCCGGAGCGCCAGGCCCTGTTTGGGCCCTGGGAGCTCATCTACGGTGCCAGCCAGTGAGTGCAAGGGGTGGCGGCAGCGGGACGGAGGGAGAGCCCTGGGCTGCGGCCGTGCACGGAGCTTGGAGTCGGAAAAACCCAAGTGCACGTTGGGAATAGGCCCGTTACCTCCCCTGTGACCTTGGCCCGGGACCTTCCCGGGACCCACTGCCTCCATCTGTAAAAGGTGGTAATAACACCGCCCCCGGAGCAAGGTTACAGGGATAAAGAAGGTGGCGCCTGGGTAGTCCCCGGACGGCTCTTACTGTCCTTGCGCACACAGAGATCTGCTTCCCTACCTGGAAGAAGGGCACTGGGGCCAGGGGCTGGAGGGCTTCTGCACCCACCTGGAGCTCTACACCCAATTTGCTGCCAACGCAGAGAGGTCCCGGACCACCCTGGAGGTAATCACCTGGAGGTGACTCCAAACCCGTCCCCTCTTGCCCGACGCATTTCCTCATTTGGAGACCAAAACTTCATGCCTAGGGTTCGGGCGTCTACGGAGCCCTTTAGGTGTCCAGCTCTGTGCTCAGCCCCCTGCGGGGAGACAGGGCTTCTCGGGGGCACACGCGGCCTCAGGGGCGGGCACTGCCTACGCAGACCACTGCACGGACGGCTGGCTTCATTCCCTGCTGCCACCCCTTACCCCTCACCCCAGAAGCAGCTGAAGAGAAACAGACGTTTCCGAAGGTTCGTGTGGCTTCAGGAGGGTCGCCCGGAGTTTGGGGGCCTTCAGCTCCAAGACCTGCTCCCCCTGCCTTTGCAGCGGCTCCAGCAGTGAGTGAGGCCCCCCCCCCCCTCCTGTGTCTGCTGCCCTCAGCTTTGGGGTGTGTCCCATCTGCCTCTTCCCTGGACCAAACTGCTCCTAACGGTTTTTTGTGAAACTCCGCAGTAACCAGGCCCTACAGGCTCGGGCCCTTGGCTGGGACTGTGGAGGTCTATGTTGAAGTGAGGGGACCTGTACCATGGCCTGAGGCAGGGTTTGTTGAGATGAGGGCCGGCTTAGCTTAGAATTTCTGACCCTGGGGAAGAGGAAAGGGGTCATGGTCACTGCTGTCTACAGCATGCTCTGTAGGTTGACTTGACCTTGGCATTGGCCTGCTGCTGTGTGGCTTAGCCTGCCCCTGTATGGGCTGGAGGGCGGCTCTGTGGTGTGAGCCCAGTTCTGAGCCCGAGATCAAAGAAGGGGGTGCAATAACTAGAAGCAGATCTTTC